AAGCTAAATTTAACTCTATCTATATCATAATATTCAGTAGGTCCGTGAAGTTGTGTAACTAAATTAGGCAAATTGGTACACAAGTCTTTGTCTTCTATTGTTCAATCAGTTCAGTTTTGTGCAATTACTTTTATGCAATGTTTTATTCGGAATCCGGAAGCAAACAAAATTTTGGCTCAGGAATCCGGGATCCAGATTCTTGGATTCTTCCGGATTCAACGGCAGTGGAAATTGAAAATCTGATAAATCAAGAGGAATCCGGAATTAAAACCATGACGACAAAAAACGAGGATGTTTTTAAAAATTCCTAGCCGGCATTCTGAACACAATATGATGAAATCTAGAATCCTTAATTGCGAGGTTTTCCATATAATCCAGAATCCAGTAACGCTCCGGATTCCGTGTCGTGGAGGGAGATGCACTCTTATAGGTTGTGACCTTGTTTTATTATGTTTTTTGTTGTTGGCAGGAAATAGCGGGGATCTCCGTTTATTCAAGTGTTACCTTGAAATGGCWTTACCTTCTACACGTATTGATTTCCTGATGTCTGAAATAAACCAGGTATTGTGCTTTAGTATTGTCATAGAATTGTAAGAAGCTTTATGAGATAAGTTTTTTTAATTTTTATCTAAGATCTCCAGATATTGATTAGAATCGGTTAGAGTGCACACCACAAAAGCGTGAAATATTTCTTAATTATCAACAACTAATAAGATTTAGTTATAAACTAACTAAGAATTCACTGGGGCATGAACACAATGCCAGAAAAGGAATTTTGTCTTTGTTTATGCCTCAATGAATTCTTAGTTAGTTGATAACTAAATCTTATCTAGAGATTTYTGTTTTAGCGGCATTGGCACAATCTTTTCCTACTTAATAAATAGAGTGGTTTTCATAAACCCGTGAAACAAAGTGTAATAATTAGAGTGTAATTTATCGTAATAGTCGCGTAGAGACARTAAAAAGCAGAAGAAACAAAGCCGTAATAGAGATGAATACGCTAAAGTGTGTTTCAAAAGTGATTTTATATTTGTCGTTCCATTATTCTCACTGCGTTCTTTTCTTTGTTTTAACCATCACATGGGATTCGACAAAATAAAGATAAAAAATAGGAAATTATCATCTGTTGGTTGTAAAAAAATTGCTTTCTTCATCCAAATGCTGGTCGCTGTCGTCTGTGCCCGACTAACGACTGGTATTCGTCCTCCAGAAAACTCTGAGCTGTTTTTGTTGGGGTGCACCTCCTCTACTGCTCGAACTAGAAACATAAGAATAATTCGATTATTAAAATGAATCTGTGGGCCAGTAATGTGAAACATAAATGTGTATTTTTCACAGCCGGTTTCCATATGTTTGTATAATTCTTGTCAAGTACTCACAAATTTTAAAAGAGGTTTCGATTAACGTGCAACATATTGTATTTCTACATTAGAGCGAATTCGCCGATCGCATTTTAAGATGCTAATGAGTTCTGAGTATGCTAATTAGCCGTCTTTCCGTACAGCTACCATAAACTGAACTAGAAAATAACCACAGAACGCAATAATACCATATTTTACTTTATTTTTTACTCAAAAATATCGAAAAAATAAAACACAACAATTAAATTAAAACGCATATGTAGACTGGGCGATTTGATATGTGTTTGTGTTGTCAGTTGTGTATTCACGTGAATGTTTTCGTGTGTGATTGTCCCTTGGGAAAGGTAAGTTTCGGGATAAAAAGCATGGTCGTGCTTGAGAGAGTGTGATTTTGGGGCTGGTTTGTACTGCCAGAGAGTCGTCGAGATTCGGTCTCTGAGAAGTGTGCCTAAAGACGTTAGCTAACCTCCCGAACTCCCGAAGTATAAATGACATATCTGTAGTCTGTTACATAGAACAATAAAGGACATAACTGCGATTTGTTACACATATATAAATCGGAATTTTACGTGTCACTGATGCGTTCTAGTACTAATTGTCAAATAGACATAAAGGAATGAGAGACTAGTTTAGGTACAAAATGTATTTCAGGTATAATGACTATTTGCGACTATTATCAGTTTTAATTAGCGGAGACTTTGAAACAGACGGATCCGTCTGGCAGTCTAAAAGGTTGCCAATTCGACGCAAACGGTGCTGCAACSAACGTGGATGCCTCCATATGTATCTTACTGCTTTGAATGTCTTGACATCTTTGAATACATGCTCCACTTTGACTCTTCTCTTTGAAAGCGCTTGGTTAAACGTTCTAGCTCTTCTTCGGTCTCTCTGGTTTAACAAATGCATCTGTCTTGCACGAATTGGTGTTAGTAGTAGAGGTCCTCCATCAGGGTAACCTTGGTGTCCTAACAGCTTAGCACCTGCAGGAAAATCCTGTGCCATGCCTGGTCCTATAGGTTGCATTAACCGAAAAGAGGTTGCGTCGTGTGTGCTCCCTAAGAAACCAGCCTGTAAAAAACGAATGTGACCCTCATTGTCCATAATTAATTGTGTATTTAAACAGTTGTAGTGTCTTTGYTGCTGTAAAATGGTCGTTGTGGCTCGAATTGAGGACGATAGATTTCGTGCGGTGTTACGTCTATAGCACCAACTGCATTTGGTAACTCAGGCCAATTGCCCATTAGATTTCTCCATTCTACAAGAGATGGCCAGGTACCTTGATTGTGGAAATATCTCCAAATCACTGGTAGTGTCCTGTAGATGATACGAATTACAGAAGTCGGGTCGATATCGAATCAAAGTACTAGAGTGTCTGTGTGTGGATATTTACGTAACCACGTCATAACAAGCAAAACTTGGTTTATAATGTTAATTTTCAGCCTGCGCATACGTACACGTGGTTCTTCATCTAGTCGTAATGTTGCTTATAATGTTGGTAGGACATCGTTTGCCAACCTGAGAAAGGAAACGGGTTCCAGTGTCTACTAGATTGGATGGAAACGCCCTAGTGGAGTGAACCTCCTAAAAAGGATCATGAAGAAGAAGACGAAGGGTGTTTCTCCAGTGCTCCTCCAAAATAGATAAACTTGTCGTGATATCAATGTAAATACGTCTCTGACATRGAATGTTTCCCCATGAAAGTTCACAAAAAGACGATGCTGTAATGGAGATAGAATTTGCGCAGCCGGAGGTGCTTTATTTAAAGCTACGAAAAGCAATAATCAGGTGAGTACATTTTGAAGCAGTATTCGAGCTTGCTGCACATTCATACTGTATGAAATGTCTATTGCACATTCCAACGTGCTAAGTGGGATTTGTAGTTGAACAATCAGAACTGAAATTCCATATTTGCTTCGAGCGCGCGACGACAACCAAAGCAAAACGTTTATAAGTATTCATATTTTTACAGTATCTACATATACTATGGCAGGTAAATATAGATCCTTTTACTCTTTTGTTTGACTTTATCATTTGTMTTTAATTGTAATCATTCCTCAGGTGCAGAAGGCTCGTCTAAGCAAAGTCGACCAAGAATCGGAGAGCTAGAAAAAAAACTTGTATTGGAGTCTTACAATAGCTGAAATGATAAAGACTKGAGATGTGTAGTTGAAACAGCGCGCCAGAAAATGGGGGAGAAAGCGGCAAGTATGCCACAACACGTGGTTAATCTGTACATGTCTCTGACAATTGAAAGCCTATCAAGACGCATGCAAAACATAGCAAAAAAGCTATGAGTAACACCACTGATCCAGGTACTCCTGAGTCCGTAGATATAGATACAGAACAACAATTCCTAGCATCAAATGTCACTAAGTATTCAAAGCGAAAGAATCCAAGCGAAAGAAGAGCTGAGGCCCTGAAATCAAAGCTGGAACAAAATTTCATTGATTCAGGTAGTGAAGATGATGGCCAGATTACCAGCGCTCAAGCACCAAAAAAGAAAAGGAAAGTAGATGCAGCAAAACAGGCTAACCTTGCGCATACAAAAATGTGCGAGAAAGCAATGTCAACAATGGACAATATTGAAAAACGTTTAGCCTAAACGTAAAGTTGATAAATTCGTTWCTAAACCATAAGTGTGTAATTATTTGGAGACTTTCGGGTAAACTAACTAAACATCCTTTTGTTTTTGAGTTTAGAATAAAGTAAAATATGGTATTATTGCRTTCTGTGGTTATTTTCTAGTTCAGTTTATGGTAGCTGTACGGAAAGACGGCTAATTAGCATACTCAGAACTCATTAGCATCTTAAAATGCGATCGGCGAATTCGTTCTATTATTGTCGATTACATAAACCTACCTTGAAACATGTAGAAGTTTGGAGCAACCCTCTTTCGTACCCGTTCTTCGGCGTCTTTAATGAAAACTGGCGAATGTTCACTCCTCCTATACTATTGTGTACTTCGAGGTAGAATTTCGAAATGAATTTCGAAATGAACTTAACCATGAACTTATAATCACCGTTGTGGTGACTATACGCAGTCTCTATCAGTTAATTCTACTTTTCTTGACCTTCTTTCCGTCATATTTTTTTTACGGTTTTTTAGACCTCCGCAGGAACTAGAGTACTGTCATGGACGCCCTCAAAAATATGCTGTCTGCGTAAAGATCCATCGCGAAGTGTTGTGCTGGAACAACATGTCATGGCTTTTATTTATGCGCTGATGTATAGGTGAATGAAAAGTGACATGTCTGATGGAGCAGCGTAATAAGCGTGAAGGTTTTCTCATTTCAATATGTTATCAGGTCTTTTTTTGTATCGAAATATGGCAAGCGAAAGAAGCAATTATCACACTAAAATAATAATGTTTGTACAAAATTAGTTGTAGTGTTATTTTGAATCGCATAGCAATGAATTTAATTATCACTCTTTTGAAAAAAGACGTGTGATAAGATTAGGCCTGTCATGCTTATTCGTAAAGGAATACACATACCCCAACACAGTTCTGATTTTTAAACGATTAATGTTGTTGTGAAAATTTTTGTTGTTCGGTACGAATACCATGCACAGGAGTGGATTGAACTGTCGCTAATATTGTAATCGTCATTGGGAGTGGTTCGGGCAAAAGAAAATTCTGTAGATAAATTCTTAAAGTCTATCGGACAACGTCTGCTGTATTCCGCCACAAAAGATCTTTTCTTCCTTATCGTTGTACATACCTGTGCTTATCTGACAAATCGAAAGCGCTTGCTGCTGAGAAGATTACGTAATTAGTGCAGTTGTATACGTAAATAATATTAATTAATTTGTCGACAACTTTCCTGGTTCTTAAAAAAATCAGGTTTCTCAAGATGCACATTTTTAGTTTATCATCACAAACTCTTTTAAGGTCTTTTACTGTTGAAGTGCTCTTCAAAAAAWACGTATACCCTCAATGGCTTTGAGAATTGTCCGAATAACAATGAAAATGCGCAAGGCTCTCTGGTAGTAGRGGGTATCATCAGATATGCCATACTCATTAAGATCAGGGAGCGCTCTTCATGTGATACCAGGTCGCACTGACCGATTTTCCAAATTTGTGTCTGCGAAATATGCAGGAAACCTTTCGAAGATTACTGATTGATTAATATTTATATTGTAAATAGCTGGCCCCTCCGGCAATTCAGTTGTAAAACTGCAATCGGTTGAATTAAACAAGCATTATTATTATTATTATTATTATTATTATTATTATTATTATTATTATTATTATTATTA